AACAGTGTCAAAGGCTGCAGTCAGGTCCAGCAGGACCAGAACAGAACAGTCCCCTGCATCACTGTGAGTCAGAAGGTCATTGGAGACCCCAACAAGAGCTGTTTCAGTAGAATGAGCTCTACAAAAACCTGACTGGAAGCTAGGCAGGGACCTGACCAGATACCAGAGAAGCATTAAATATAGAGAGCACGCTGGGACCGATGGACTGAAAAGCACTTTTAAACAAAGATGAGGGTAAGATGTGGAGGGAGGATGCAGAGCTCTTCATAGAGCTAACTAGTTTGGTTAACTCAGGCAAAGAAACCGGAGCAAAGCTATCTAGGATGATGGGCCTGGTTGGAGTCGGGAGAGGCAGCGATAAGGCTGAAGGAGACAAGCTAGATCTAACCTTATTGACTTTGTCCACAAAGAAAGACAGAAAGTTCTCAGTCTGCAACAGAGTGGATGGAGGCTGTTGGAGAGGCAGGAGAGACAATGATGCTGATGGTGTTGAACAGCACCTTGGGGTTCCCTTTGCTCTGGGACACCAGGTTGGAAAAATAGGCAACCCTAGCATCTCTGACTGCAGAGTTAAAGGATGTCAGAAGATCCTTTAGGTGCAGCAGATGGACGTGGAGACGGGTTTTCTTCCACAAGTGCTCAATTTTTCTGCATTGGCGCTTTAGGCTGAGAAGGCTGTCATTAAACCAGGGAGTAGGATTCACTGCAAGAACTGATCTGGTATCTAGCAGCTAGATGTTTCTGTAACTACAGTTGTACTTGTTATTCAGAAATTTCGGATCCATGGGTCTGTAGCCAACCTCCCTGGATGTGGTGGCAGGAGGAAAACTGATGACAAATCAAAAAGATAGATAATCTGAGTGGTAACAAAAGAGCCCAGAAAAACTTTCAAAGAGCTCCAATGTGAACTTAAAGCTCTAGGAACGTTAGTGTCAGATTGCACCATCCATGGTTATTTGAGCCAAAGTGGACTGCGTGTGAGGACACCATTGTTGAAAACTGATAATAAAATAGCCAGAATGGAATATGCCAAACTGCATGTTGACAAGCTGCAAAGCGTCTGGGAGAATGCCCCTTGGACAGATGAGACAAGAATGGAACATTTTGCCAAGACATATCAGCTCTATGTTCAAGGATGGAAAAATGAAGCATATCAAGAAAAGAACACTGTCCCTACTGTGAAACATGGAGTAGCCTCTGTTATGTTCTGGGGCTGCTTTGCTGTATCTGGCACAGGGTTTCTTGAATCTGTGCAGGGTACGATGTAATCTCAAGACTATCTTCAGTTGAGAAAAATGTGTTAGCCAGGGTCAGAAAGCTTGGTCTCAGTCGCAGGTCTTGGATCTTGCAACAGGACAATGACCCAAACACACACAGCTAGAAACACCCAATGGCTAAGAGGAAAACATTGGACTATTCTAAAGTGGCCTTCTATGAATCCTGACCTCAGTTCTATTGAGCGTCTTTGGAAGAAGCTGAAACATGCCATCTGCAAAACGTACCCATCCAACATGAGACAACTGGAGCTGTTTGCTCATGAGGAGTGGGCCAAAATACCTGCTGAGAGGTGCAAAAGTTTCACCGACAGTTACAAGAATTGGTTGACTGCTGTGATGGACTCAAAAGGTTGTGCAGCAAAATATTAGGTTAAGGATACCATCATTTTTGTCCTGTTTTGGCCTGTTACATGAGTTTATTTTTTAATAATTTCATTGAATTATGGATGAAAAGCAATGTCTGACTTTCATTGGTCAAAATTCATAGAAATTTTATTTCTTATTACTTTTGTCAGATTCAAGTTATTTCTGTGACGTGGGGTTGTCTTTCATTAACCAAAGAGTACCAACAATTTGGTCCAATATTATCTTGTTCTGGGCCAAGTCAAGACTGTATGTGGATAACATCTCATCTGGATTTTTCACCCTTTTCAATGAAGATGTGGCAAGGTGGATAAATGGGGGCCTTGTCGGGACTCGATTCCCAGACTCTCGGGTGAGAGTCACGCGCGGGAACCAGTCAGCCAAAGGGACATCCCCTCATCCAAGTAGCCAGGACGCATGATCAATCAGGATACAGTGACACTCACCCTGTCACACACTGGAGGTTCATTAGTTTGAAAAGGAGCAGGCAGGTGGTGGACAGACACAAGAGGACAGAAGCAGTAGGAGAGGACAGAGACAAATGGGTTGTTAAAACAGCCAGCTACATCAACATAAATAATCAATGTGAGCAGTTGGAAACTGATAGTCTCAATCTTACACTCACTGTACAAAAACTATGTGTCAAGGTGATACTGTAAATAGCAAAGAGCCTTATTTGATGTAGCACCTTCTAGGATTTTACAACCCCCTTAGGTACTTTACAACAGGCCCAGTCATTTACCCATGCATACACACATTCACATGCTGACGGTGATGAGCTACATTGTAGCCACAGCTGCCCTGGGGCTCACTGATGGGGGCGAAGCTGATTAAAACTCCCTGGTGGGGTTTTTTCTGGGCACGTCCAACTGGGAGGAGACCCGAGGGAAGACCCAGGACATGCTGGAGGGATGTTTCCCAGCTGGCCAGGGAAAGCCTCTCTCGGAGGAGCTGGCACAAGTAGCTGGGGAAAGGAAAGTCTGGGCCTCCCTGCTTAGGCTGCTGCCTCCGTGACCCACACCCAGATAAGCGGAAGAGAATGGATGGGTGGATGACTTTCTGCCTGGTGGAACCAACCTCAGCATCCTTCTACCTATGCAATCATTGTCTCTCCCGGGGGACACACCATACCATTCCATTTTACTTGTATCACATTTCAAATACAACATGAGAGCTGTCCAAAGTGCTGCACATGCAGTTACAACAAACAAAAACAAAGATAAAAAAAAACACTAAAAGCACAGATAAAACAGCTAGATTGAAACAGCTTAACAGAAAATAACAGAAATTGAAAACACTGAAAGCACAGATAAGACAATAAATCGGGAAACTGTCCAACAAGTCACAAGTTAAAAGCCAACACATAAAAATGGTTTTTTTTAAACGGTATTTAAAAACCACCAAAGAAGGAGCCTGCCTTACAATCATAAGTAGTGCATTCAACAGCTGGGGTCAAACGCTTGCTTGCCCTGCGATTTATAGCACATCCATGTGACAGGGAGCACTTTGAAATTTCATTGAAATGCAAAGTGTGTTACAAATAAAATGTATTACTTTTATTAAAATCTATTAATGAAGTGGTGCAAGGACTGGGGTGATGTCCAAACCATCTCAGTCAGGCCTCTCTTACTTTATCTCTAAAACACCTAAATGTATTGGCATCAACATGTGTCTCTAAACTCATGGACATCATATGTGAAATCCATGGCACACAAAAAAGATTAGAAAATAGCTTTTGTAGCTCCATTGACTTGCATTCAGTTTGCCTCATTTAAGGAGACCCATGATCCAGAAGTAGATGGGCGTGGCTTAGGCTACCTATAGGGAGCCTAAGTCACTTCTGCACCATGTGTCCCTGGAAGATTGAAAAAATGAATGCAAGTCAATGGAGCTAAAAACGCTATTTTCTAATTCCGCTTGTATTGTGCCATGGATTTCATATATGATGTCTGTGAATTTTAAAGATGCATTTTGATACCAAGAGCGTGCTTATTTTCGAACGGGGGGGACAATATTTTAGGTTTTGTGTGAAAATAAGTCCAGAACTACAAATGCGCTTCACGAACGTGACGTCATTGAACCAGACACGGAGGAAACTGACAAAAAAGGATTGTAATTTCAGCAAGCTTCCCACAGGAGGAAAGAACCACCATAGATCTGGTCATTTGGTAAGTAGCAGCTGTGCTAGGGGAGAGGAGATTATGTGGTGACGTCACAAATGTGGCGTACTGATTTCTAGTTTGTAGTCATGCTAATTATAAACTTTTACAAGCTACTAAATCTCAAAGTACATGACTGGCGTGGTCGAAACACCCATCATTACCTTTCATTTAAATTGCAGTACAACATATGTGCGATTCAGGTCGTAAGGCAAAGTGAATTTGGAAATTGGGTTTTACCCCCGTTGACTTGCATTCATTTTGTCGTTTTTCTGGGGACCCATGATGCAGAAGTGACTTAGGCTCCCTACAGGGATTCTGTGGGCAGCTTGATGCCCATGGGCACCATGTTGGTGACCTCTGGGTCACAGGTACTGAAACAAAGCTGTTTATTTTCCATTTCCAGCTTCTGATTAAAATCCAACTAATTGTTTCGACACCCTGGACATCGTTTATCATCTTATTTAAAACAGCTTATCTGCTTATTTATTGTTTTAAAATACTATACCTAAACTCTTGAAACCTGGACTAGATAATGCTACATTAATGACAGAAAGAGTCCAATTCAGTGTTTGATTTGTGAAACCTTAATTTGATTTGTGTATTAAAGAGCATTTTCAGCACTTTTTACATCTGTTTTATTTCACGGGTTAGAGTCAGAACTCTTATTATTAAAGTCCTTTTCATAAACAACACAGAGCTGAAAAATATGTTGATACCATGATAGTTCTCACACACAATACAAATAAAAGTGAAGAAAATAGCCTTTATTGAACTTTCACGAATCAAATAAAGGTTTCATACTGCTGTATAATTAGAATAATCTAGTCTAGGTTTTAAGAGTATTTGTAGTTTTTGAACTGGACCTTTTCCACTTTCATCCAAAAGACTTCTGAAAACATGCTAATCACAAATCAAAAAACGTTTAACAGATTACGAACTGTATTTTTATAGGATTCTGATATTAATATAAAAATCTAGTCTAGGTTGGAAGAGCCTAAGAATTGCAGTTTTAAAATTAGAGCAGGTTAAAAGCGCCCAAATTAGACGAAATTCAGAAAGGAAGCTATAAATAGGAGCCAACTTCAGCCTCATCTTTTATGCTACTGGCACAAACAATTAATTGCACAAGCTACGATAATATTTCACCAATATATGTCGCTTTATGTTTTAATCTTAGGATGAAAAATATATTACATTTTAGAACGTGTACGTCAGGTTTAGTTGAGGCACGTAACGGTATGGGCGTGGCTTACTCTCAGTCCCTATCGCTGCTGACGTCCAAGGTATTGCTGCTTGAAAGGTTAGTAAAATTATTGTTTTTTTATTGTTTTAGACATGATGAGTTTATGTGTACTGATCTAGACTGCAGCGACATTAATCATGTAAACATAGCTTGAGGCATTTTCCTTGATCTTTTGAGTTTGTTAGGAGAGCCTAGTTCGCGTTCGCCGTCTGAAAATGGCGCCCTAGCTAAAATCGGCTAACTTATGCTAACTTAAACTTGGGACAAATCCCTCCTAATTAACGTTTCGCCGCTAAATTTTCAGTTTTTATTTGGTAAAGTACGCCAAGAGGAATATTTATCAGTTACATAAATATACTTAAGCAGGACTTTGTTGGTGAAGTCAAATCTCTCAAGCTATAAAAAAGCTAAAGGTTTGAATTTTCAGCGTGAAACTTTGTGGTTGCATCATCTCTGTTGTCGTGGTCGTTTGTAAACTCCTGAAAAAGTTACAGATATTTTAATCAGAGCTATTATTTGATGTATTGTAGAAGCTGAGTGAAGCACATGTTAGCCATGATGTGACTGAAACTGTTCAAGGTCATTCAACTAGTCAGGTATTGAGTTCATGTACCACCCCACGTTTATTCTAGTAATTTCTCATTAGATAATATTTATTTTTGTTTTATTTAAGGATCTCGACGAAACCAAAAGCATGAACCAGACTTATTCAAAGTTATCAAATGGATTCATTCTGCCTAAGGGCAAAGTGACCCCAAATACGCTGTTTGTGGGAGGGATTGACATGATGGTAAGTTCAGATTCATTTCTCCTGCCTATTTAAAAATCTGAAACAAGCCAATTTCATTTAGTAATTATAAATACAATTAAACTTGGGGGAAAATAATTTGTATATATTGTAGATGTTTCAATTCAACCATTATACAAGAGGTCTCCAATGAGCTACTTTTACAAAATGAAAGTAAAAAAGACCTACCGCCATAAGAGTTATTCGCATTGTGTGAATATGCTTACTATGGTAAAAAGGCTATGCCTACTAACATGTATTGTGCATTGTATTCACAAGTTGCTTTCTGTGTTTTTCAGTGCATAAATATTGTAAAACAGTGAAAGGAAAATGGTGACATTCCTGTTTTAAAACTCAAACTAAATGAAAAGTGTTTTTTTTCTTCAACTAATCAGATACTTTCAGATGCTGAAATACAAATTTGCTTCTAGTGATGGGAATTCCGGCTCTTTTTAGAGAGCCGGTTCTTTTGGCTCAGTTCACCAAAAAGAGCTCTTTCGGCTCCCAAGTGGCTCCTCAGATTTTCAGTTGCGTAGAGTACATTTATAACCAAAATAATGCAAAACTATGTAAAATGATTTACTCATGTAAAAGAATGCAATGTATAAAATATTTATTGTTTCTATGGATTTAATAACACTTCAAGAAATCCCCACTTTCTGACTGCTGGTGCTCATTTTCTCACGGTCTTCGTCACACACTCCTCTCTCTCGCTCACCTTTTTCCTCCTCCTCATTCCCTCTCATCTCCCTCTGCCCGCATGTGCTCTGCTGTGTTTCTGAGTCTGGTCCTCCCTCTTCCCCGCCCCTACTGCTCTGTGTGTGGACCGTCTGGACATGCAGTTACACATGTTGACCAATCGCCTGTAGCTTTCACCAAAGTAAGAGGGGAGGGCTCCCAATGACGAGCCGGCTCCTGTCGTTCACTTCAAAGAGCTGGCTCTTAGAGCCGGTTCATTCGCGACCGACTCATCACTATTTACTTCGTGTGAATGATGGGCATTTCTTTTTAGATGGATCAGTAACATAACTTTTTGAGCACACAGGAACAGTTAACCTCTTCCTGTTCAGTCCCTGAGCCCTGCCCAGAGCCTAAGCAGCAATGTCAGTTTTTTATAGTGTTCAGCTATTTTGTCATAAATGAACAAATACTTCCAAAAACTATAGAATGCCATTTAAAAGCATTTATTGTTCTTTAAATGACATTAAAACAGGGTATCCACTGGGTCTTGAAAAGTCTTAAGTCTTGAATTTACTTTAAGGAAAATGAAGACCCTTAAAAGTCTTAAAATAGTATTAAAGCAATTTTAGTACATTTGATTAAAAAAGTATGTAGCCACTCCTTAACACTACATAGTTGACGTGAATTTAAAATACGCTCGTCACATACTTGCAAAGTTGACACTTTTTGGTGAAAATCGCCATTGATGAAGCCAAATATAACGTTCATGTGAATCATGTAGAATGATCCCTGGCATTTTTACTGTGATTGCCCCTGTAGTCCTGTAAAATCACAGAAAAAGAGCATGTTCTTGTAAAACAAGTATGCTTCCCCAGTGCCTTCCAGAGGCAGCATAATGTGTGATGACATCATACGCGTTCACGCTCAGGTATAGCCCGTAGCATTTGCTATCTGTAGTTTGGCGGCAGAGCGAGAGGGAGTGTTGCTAACTCAGCAACTTTGTCGTTGTTCCTAGCACCTAGCAACAAACCTAGCAACATTTCTGAGGACCCTTTTCTACTTTCTGTCTAACTTTGTTGAAGATATTCTCTGCAGATTGGCAACAAAGAAACCATTTGCGCTCCGAACCGTTCTTCTGGGAGCAAGGAAAGACAATGATAATCTGCGCATGTGCACAAGGACATAAATAGGGCTGAAACGATTCCTCGAGTACCTCCAATAATTCGAGTACAAAAAATCCTCGAGTCAATTTCTCTGCCTCGAGGATTCGTTTAATTCATGCTTAATTAATTCATAGCTTTGCAATTGCCCGGGGTCATGTTTCACCACGACCAAAATAAGTGACGCACATACACACTGCACTGAATGCACACGCGAGTAGCGAATGTAACTTGACTTTCTCTTAAGCCATGGCGGACAACGTGGACCCCGGTGGAATGCGAAAAAGACAGAAAATGTCAAAGGTGTGGGACCATTTTTCACTTCATAAGGTGGAAAGCGTAGTCCAGTGTAAATACTGTAAAATGGATCTAGCCTACCACAACACCACATCCTCCATGCTGCAGCACCTGACCAGGAAACATCCACATGTAAATGTCCCTTCTGCAAGCGGACTCGGAGGTCCACCATGTATTCTGCGGACATTTTGCGACTTTTTTGTTTGTAGCACTCAGCTTCAGCTCACACCGTGTGTCTGGTAGCAACACGTCAAACCTAAAAATGTGCTAAAAATAGCAGTTTTTACACAACACGTTTGACTTTTTATTGTGTTGTTACTGATGCCTGTTGTCCCTCGGGATTGCTGCAGGAGGACGCAGGTATTTGAGGAAAACGAAAGAAAGTAAATACATGTTTTGTGATCAATATAATTTGATATAACCGCGGCAAACATGCTTTCTCGACAATCCTTGTTATTGTGTGTTAAAAAAAGTGTAGAAATGAAAACGGACGTGTGTTAATAGGGAAATAGCTGGAGAGCCATGTGTGCACATGTGCCGTGAGCGGTTCTGGTGCTGTTTGGGCCGCAGCCGCTCGCAGCGCTACTTCAACAGTTATCCTCCTAGTTTTTAGATTCTCGCACGAGGGGAAAATCGGCTCAGGTTGTTTACTTATTTTTTGCACAGGCAATTGTTTACTGTGAAGTAAAGTTGAAGTGCTGAAATTTTGAAAACTAATTTTGAATAAAACTTGAAGAATAACTGGCAATTGCTTGCTCATTTTAAGAGGTCTTTCATATTTTATAACATGCTATTTGATGTAATGGTTTAAAAACACAAAAGGGTAATTTATTAGAGTACTCGATTAATCGATAAAAGATTCGATAGAGTACTCGATTACAAAAATATTCGATAGCTGCAGCCCTAGACATAAACCTTTCTCAGCCGGACCGACGATAAAGCTACAGCTGCAGAGCTGGAGACCACCAATTTATGCCTGCTGCTGCAGAGTCACGCATCTACTAGTGATGGTGCAGGCGTCAAACTGCAGTCTCTGGCTCTGCAGCCGTCAGGCACTGTGGCCCTTCCTGCATTTGGCAAATAAAGTCAGCAGGAGTTTGATCCACCGTCCCGTTAACACACACCACTCTCTGGCTCATCTGAATTCCCTTCAATGACACGGGGATGATATCAAGAGACACCAGGTCTCAGTTGCTCGGTGCACCGGCGTGCACCATTATTATAACAATCTACATGGAGAGAAAACACAGTGGAGGAGTGGAGTAGGGGTAAAAGTCGCTGTTCAAGAAAATGCTGGTAATGCACAAACTTGACGGAGAGTGTGAGAATGAGGTGAGCAAGAGGTCTGAGCTATGTCCTATAATAGAACGGTTTGTATCGTCACACCACATTTGAGCCCACCACGGATTTGACGTAGACACATTTTTAGAATCGAGTCATTGACGTGTCGTTACAGCTCTAATCATTGTAACCTTCCCTACAATGTGAAAGACATTAGACTGTTGTAGGACTGCTCATTTAATCGAATTTTAATCCCAATTACGATCTGAGTTTTGAACAATTATAAAAAAAGCCGATTATTTGCTCCTCCCACTTGCGCTGCCCTGAGTTGCAAATGAAGCGCTCCTCCCACAGTGTTGCCAACTTAGCGACTTTGATGCTATTTCTAACAGCTTTTCAGACCCCCTTCTTGACTTTTTAAATCTTAAAAGTACCTAGCGAACACCTCAGAAACATCTCTGGTAACCCTTAGCTACTTTCTGGATAACTGTCGTTGACATTGCCTGCAGGTTAGCTAAACACTCCGCCTGCGCTCTGGACCGTTCTTCAGGACATTAGGAAAGGGAATGATGTAGTGATGTGTTAGTCGCTAAAGCAACGGCTCGCAGAGCCGTCTCACTGTTGGTTTAACCAGAGTGAGTGACACACACACCGTACCTGCGGGCTCCTGAAAAGCTAAAAACGGCTAAATGTGCGTGTGCGGCGCGCTAAACACACGTGCAGCTTGCCCCTGATTGCTGTGAGACTGGGTTGGGGGGTGGGGGGTGCAGCTGTGGTTGGGACAATTATTACATTAACTGATGGACCTGTAAATAAATAGTTTATAAATAAGGTAGAAATAAGTTCCTCACGCTGATTAACAACTAATCTCTCTGGGGACATGGTGCTAGTGCACTCCTACAGCACCTTGACACGACTCAATAAATGTTATGCAACATTTTGTGAGCATAAATTTATTTGCATTTATTTGTTATAAATGCTACTGTATAATTCTTGCTGTCAGTATTTGCAAGATATTGGTATTTGGGTCTGTACTGGTTAGACTTAAATGAGTTAAACCAAGGTCTATAGCCCTTGGGTCATAGACTATGAGCTATAGGTATATTGGTCTTTTTATACTGGGAATCAGGAGTTATTTTAGTGATCATCTTGTTTCTTATTTATTTTTGTCCTGATTGTGCCCTGAGCAATTTTATGACTGAATAAAAACAAAAAAAATCAACATAAATTGAAAAATCGTCTTAAATGATCGAGATCTCAATCTCAGTCACAATTATCTTGATTATTGTTTTTGCCATAATCGAGCAGCCCTAGACTGTTGTGATGTTTAATTGTTAAATTCTTACATATTGTACCTTTAAGAAAACATTCCATAATACACTTATCTACACATAAAAACATATGAATGTGAATATATTTAGGTAATTTATCATTTTCTTTTGTCAGTTATACTTAACCTAAAGTTCACATCGTTTCTTTTTTACATCTAGAATAATCAAGAACAGATGTTGTTTTTGGCCATTGAAATGTCTGTCGTCCATCAGGTTAATGAAAATGAAATACGAGACTTCTTTGCAAAATTCGGCACTGTGAGGGAAGCGAAAATTATCAAAGACCGTGGAGGCATCTGCAGAGGGTGAGTTACAATTGTTTTTAATGATGCGTTTGTACTGTTGAAAATAGTGTTACTATGTTCTGATTTTACTGAAAAACTTGTTCTTGAATAGTTCCTTTACTATTGTGATCAAAATTATTTAGTCTCAATTCTGAGGCTGCTCTGTAAATAGTTTTCAAATAAACAATACACATAGCAACTTCTGATCAATCCATATCAATTTCAGATTTAAAATAATGTATTGATGTAAACCACACCCGCTAACTTCCAAATAATAAATAAGAGGTGCATTCATCCGTGTATGTCCTTTGATCCGCATTAGTGATATTTTCAGCACCAGAACAACGAAGCAAAGAAACAGATTCCTGCGTTTGTTAGTAATTTTATTTATTAGGTGCATCTGACCTGTTCAATTTTCCCTGAAATGAGATCAAATTAGTGCTTCTATGGGTTGTCTCCTCTCTGCACTTTAAAAATTTGCCTGTTGTTTGTTTGTGAGTGTGCATGATTAGGATGCAGAATCGCTGCGTCAGAACAGTTTTACAGCTTATCGGGACGTGTTCCCGTGCCAAAACTGGGGTGCGGATCAGAAGATTCTAGGTTCGGCTCCTGGCTGGCTCGCCAAATGTAGTGAAATATAGATCGTATATTTATACACTGTAATTAGATCTAGATATTATAATCAGAAGCGGTTGTTTTTATCATCAGGGAGTTTACTTAAACACTCTGTATTGACGAGAGACAAGAAAAGAGAGCTTTGGGATCGTTTAAGAATCTTGTATTTCTATAATTATAAATTCTTACAATCTACCAGGACTAACTCTGTGATGGATGCATATGGATTAGAATGTTATCGTGTTGGTGCGTGTGTGTGTGTGTGTTCAGAATCTCTAGGCTGACGTAGGCGGATCTGGTTGTTATGACTACAAATCACGAGGCTTCAGAAGCTGATGACATGAGCAGCCATTTTGCCATGACCACGTACCGTATGGAGCCTCCCGTGTTAGATCAGGAAATGCCAGGTCCTCGGACCTTCAGATGTACTGGAGCTGGTGGAACAGCGGTCGCAGCACGACAAAGTCCATCTGCGGATCGACCCCGGTAACAGCGGCAGGCGTCAGCGAGTTAGCTCTTATTTTGAAGGAACGTCGTCGTCTTGTTCAAACGACGGAAATCTCCAGCTTGACAGTTCTCAGCTTAAAGTAGGAAAGTGCAGCTGGCCAGCCTGCACTTTTCTTAGCGATGACAAAGGAACTCCTTAGGAACTCAGATTGAACAGAGCTGAGTTTAAAATGGAACTGAGGATAAAATGGCGTTGCCTTGTTTTATATCCCCTAGTTGTTTATAAATCTTAGTAAACCGGATTGGGCAACTTCATTAAACAACCCAGATTCTGCCCTACGACAGACGAAAGTTCTGATTGGTTGAGAACAATGTGTCATGCGTTTCCATGTCAATGTAGATCAGTCTGTCTGGTGCAGTCCTGTTTATTCATTAAACACATAACTCATGACATCTTTATTTCACAGATCATTCACCTGATTATTATTGATCAACATATGTTTCGATTAGCTTTATCACAAATAAAGTACTTTGATTAATTAATGAAGAACGTTCTTCTTCTGTTCTTCTGGCTCTTCTCCTGGAATGTAAACAGGGTCCGAAATTAACACTAGCCACTCGCCAAATGCGAGTAAATTGCTCCATTTGGCGAGTAAATTTTTGAGCTCTACCTGCCACCTGGTGAGTAAATGTTTGCACCAAATTAGTTATGTTTATCAGTCATCTTCCACGGATTTCTGATACTCCTCCCGCCTGCATGCAACTTACACAAACGTATGCGAAACGTGAACGCCGCATCCAACGTCATTTCCACGTATCCCATTCAATCAGTTTATCAAGTGAGCAGTTTAGCTTCGTGACTTAAAACTAGCAGTGAAATGTGGCGGTTTTTAACTGGAGTCAGCCAGCCTTCCAAAAGAAAACTCGTCGAACTGGAAGAAAAACCACCAGGACCAGTGGCAACCAGAAGATTTTTTGAAAAGTGGCGAACTGGAGACGGCGGAGTAGTGAGACAGGCTACATTATGATGGCCACGTAGCGTTGCTGCCTTTCACAGACAACTGTCCCTCGGCATTTTTCAAATATCCAAAAAATGCCCATACTTCCGACTTTGTCTTCTTTGAGGGATAATAAATGTCCCAAGTGCTGCTGTCTCCTCCTGCCATTATTTCAGCTTTAGCTTAAAGAAAGTTTTGGTCGTAAACAACAAAGTGCGCATGTGCCGCCGGCAACTTCCAGCAGATGATACGGTGGCTGGTAAGGGTCACCGAGATAATATATATATATATATTTTTTTTAAACAAGACTGTTATTATTTATTGTCAACTTTTTTTACCGGGGTTTACTGCTACACCGGTTACCATGACAACCCTAGCCCTGACACACTTTCAGATATTCTCATGCTGCAGCTGTGTTCTCCAGAGATCAAGGACTAGGACCCAAATGAGGCTGTAATGCTTTGGCACAAAGACGGTGTCAGAAGCAGGAGGCCAGACTTCATGGACAGAGAAAACAAGGAGTCTGACTAGATTTCAATGAAAGAGTTCATAAAAACATCTCTAAAACTAAACAAATAAATAGTAAAAATGACAAAAGAGTTGTTTTCCTTATTAATTGATGTTTTAATTATTTTGTCACTGTTTGGAATCAACATAATATAGAATTGCATGCTTTAGGTAGATCTAAATCATTTAGAATTTTGGCCGGTAAAAAATATGCTTGGCCGGTAGATTTTCATCATCTACCGGCCAACTTGGCCGGTGAGTAAAAAATTTAATTTCGGACCCTGAATGTAAACATTCTGAAACCAGCACCCGACCTTGGCGATTCCTACACGTTGTTACTGTGTAAAGGGGCAGCTGTTAAGGGCAGACAATTATGATATTCATAACGCTACACATTATTATAATGTTCACTGTAATGCATCTTGATGTTCTTAACAAATACATTAAATCAAAGATATTGGTCAATAATGCCAAATATGTAAATTTGTGTTTCAGTCATTTTTATACTGGCTTAAAAATACTTCATTAAGTCTACTAGAGGTGTAGAACGTGTTTAATAGGGCCAGCCCAGTAATGATCTTGGACCAAAATAAAGGGGGCAGAAAGTCAAATAAAGGGGGGCAGAAGGAGATGTTTTTCCAGATGCCAAGAAAAATTAAATGCCAAATCCTCCCTGCAAAGTGTGTCACTGAGAGTTTAAAACAAAAATTTTTTTTGTGCAAATATTGGTGTATTCACCTTTAATACTAGTTATTAAAATGCAGCAGTTGCTGGATTGGTGCAGTTCAAAGTGGAGTGCATCAAATAAAACAATATTAACATAAACGTGAGACGTGTCACCCCCCCCCCCCCACGACCACCACCACCACCACAGCAGCTGGAAAAATTCCTAGGGGAAACACTGTAGGCGGGTTGGTGCTGCATCTGTAGTGATGTGGGCGTTGTACTGGTCTGTCGTGGTGAAGAGAGAGCTGAGTCAGAAGGTGAAGCTCTCAATTTACCGGTCAATCTACGTTCCTACCCTCACCTATGGTCATGAGCTTTGGGTAGTGACCGAAAGAACGAGATCGCGGATACAAGCGGCCGAAATGAGTTTTCTCCGCAGATTGGCTGGACTCTCCCTTAGAGGTAGGGTGAGAAACTCGGTCATCCGGGAGGTGCTCGGAGTAGATTTGCTGCTCCTCCACATCAAGAGGAGCCAGTTGAGGTGGCTCAGTCATCTGGTCAGGATACCTCCTGGACGCCTCCCTAGTGAGGTTTTCCGGGCACGTCCAACCAAGAGGAGGCCTAAAGGTAGACCCAGGACACGTCGAAGGGATCATGTCTCACCTGGCCAGGAAACACCTTGGGTTTTCCCTGGAGGAGCTGGCCCAAGTCGCTGGGGAGAGGGAAGTCTGGGCCTCTCGACTTAGGCTACTGCCCCCGTGACTTGACTCTGGATAAGCAGATGAAAATGGATGGATGAATGGATGGATGGGTTGATAGACTTTTTCATTGACAAAAAAAAAAAACAACGAAAACTGACTGAAACAAAAAATCTAGTCAGAAAACGGAAAAGATTGGAACAGGCGAGATCAGAGTTCGGCGCCAGCTGCTGTTTGAACAAGCTACCGCTTAACCAAACATCATATGATGGTAAGAGTTATAAATAAAGGAATAAAATAGTGTCGCACCGATATGAAATTTTTGGGCCAGTACCGATATCCAATATTAAGATCACTGTTATGGCCGATAACCAATATTTGCCGATATTGATATACTGATATTAATGCTTCTAAAATTTGCATATTTTGTGTAGAATATAAATTATTAAAGCTGAATTCATGTTATCATGTACACGCAACACACACATTTACGCTTCTGAGTAGGGCTGGGTGATATGACGATTTTAGACCGTTTTACGATCTACACATCTGACGGTCTGTCATTTTTGAGAGACCTTTTTATCACGATTCACAGCTCTGCTGTTGAAATTCTGCCTCTGAATGAAAAGGGAACTTACTTCCGGCGAATGACACGCCTTTGTTTGACCCTCAGCCAATCAGAGTGAGTCATGGTAATATATTAGTGCCCCACTTGTTTTCACCTGTGTGTGAACAAACATGGCTTCAGCCGCGGCTGAGCGACAACGAGGTTTTCGTTCCGAAGAGGAACGCCTCGTCCATTATATGGAACTGGTTTGGTTTTTCACCAGATGACAAAGAGCAGCGAAACGTCATTTGCAAAGTTTGCAAGGAGAGCGTCAAGGCAAGTGATGGCAACACCACAAACTTGTTTAATCACTTGAAAAGAAGGCATCCCAAACAATACAATGAGAGCCAGCTGGTAGCTAAAGCTAAAAAGCCTGTGGCTACAGCGGCTAGTGCTTCTTCCAGGCAGCAAACGCTAACAGAAACACTCCCAAAACACTCCCTACGACAGAGACAGCAGACGATGGAACAGCGTGACAGATGC